GTTTATTGTTTTAACAAACCAAATTGTTTGTGCTAAAATTTAATTTTTAATGGATTCAAGAAAAAAAAAAAAAAAAAAAAGATTCAGTTGTCTTTGCTTCAGGCTACTAGTTACAAATTGTCTGAAGGCTTAAGAGAAAAAGAGATAATCTTTTTGTGATCGTTTAAGATAGTGATAGTCGGGAACTAAGTTTTTTTTTTTTTTTTAGAACTATTCTTTAGACTTTGGCCGCTTCATTTCTCATGTATTGCCCTTCCTTTGTCCCACACACATAGATCAGTATATGCTTAAAACAAGACTTCAATTTTTTTTGACAAAAACAAGTAGGATAATAGAATTAAGATAACTTAGCATATATGCAGCTACATGGAGGCACAGACGCATTTTTACCTCACAACGAGAATGTTCTGGGTTCAGATCCCAGGTTGTGGTTCTTTCGCATGGAGTTTGCATGTTCTACCTGTGGTGTGGATTCTCTCCTGGTGCTTCAGTTTCCTCCCACAGTTCAAAAACGTGACTATTTGGTTGGTTGTACTTTAATTATTAAAAAATAAATAATTAACTAGAGGCTACTTCGTAACAATGTGGAAACGCACCAGAAAGACATAGCAAAAAAAAAAAATAAATAAATAAATATATATATATATATATATATATATATATATATATATATAAAAACACTTTTCCACAGTACATCTGTTTGCAAAGACCACTTTGAGTTGTGCGTAAAAACACGAGGCAGAGCTACAGTTATGACATTTTTAATGACAGTTTTTGTAAAACCTTGCATCAATGTCAAACTCCATGAGCTCACATTGTTTGTTTTTTGTTCTTTTCTTTTCTTTTTTTTACCGCTAAGCCTTTGGAATCAATTGAAGATTGTTTTCAGGAATTCGATTTGTTTTTGCACCACTAGATATAGCTATATGAAAAATGACAAGCAACACTAGTAGATCACCAAAAGCTTAAATACATAATCCCTCTCGTCAGTTTTTATATGATTATTAAATTAACCCCATGAATGTATGATTATTCGAGGGCCGCGCGTGGGCGTTGGTGTCGTCTTAACACCTGTAACGCCAGATGAATTGAACGAACGGGTCAAGACGGGGGCAGCGGGAGCCGTAACCTACCGAGTGTGCTTGTCATTTCACAACAGGGAACATAGAGTTACCAGACAGGAAGAGCTGTTGCACCAAATGCGCTCGTGTTAGGTCATGAAGATAACACACATCTGGAGACAATTAGCGGAGAAATGATTTCGCTCAGCCCACAAGCCATCATCAACATCAAGCTCTCAAGATGATGAAGCCCACTCGAGGAAAGATGAGTGAAGAGCAGCCCGTTTTTTTTTTTTGAGCTAAGGTGGGACATTTGCCATCCAACATACGAGCGCCTCGCGGCTCCTGATTACGCCCACCATCCGATTGACTGCAGCTGCACTGTTTTCAACATTCACACAACTCGCACCCCTATCATTACGGCCCACTTTTGAGGTCACTTACAGGTGCATCTCAGTAAGTTAGATTATCGCTGAAAAGTGAATTCGTTTGCAATTCTGCATTAAAAAAAAAAAAAAAGTGAGACACACATCTTACACATTCATTACGCAGAGACTAATATGTTTCAAGTGTTTATTTCTGGTAATTTTGTGATTATGGCTTACAGCTAATAACATCCATAATTGTGTTTCTCAGAAATAAACCTCGGGGATCTCATCAGAGTAAGAAAAAAAAAAAAGCATCTCGAAATACGGAAATGTTGTGATATGGGGATGTTACGAGATCGTGGGATAGATTAAGGACTTGACAGTTGTCAAACAAACACTCGGTGACATCCTGCACATGAAGCTAAACAAACTGGATTTTCAGAGAGAGCCGTATCCAGGTGTGTTAATGGACAGCTGAGTGCGTTTTATGGGTCATGTGTAGTATTCACATTTCACGAGAGGCTGCTCTTTGGTTTAGCTGTAAGCCACATTCATTAACTTTTCAATGATATTATAATTTATTGAGATGCCACTAAATATGAGTCCTAAAAGTGATCATTTTCCAAACTAAGTCAGAAATATTTGCAGTATATACATTATATAGTAACTGAAAAGAGCTTTTCGTTGATGAAAAGCTTTTAAAATAAGTGTTTTTTAATTGTGTCTGTTCATATAATTTATGTTATTTAAACAAAGTACTTTGTATGCTTAAGTCTCTGATACGCATATGTGAAACCTATTAATACCACTGGTTTAAAAAATAATACTTTTAGGACATACCATTTAAAAAAAAAAAAAAAAAAAAAATCATCGTAGTACAACAGATCTACAAAACTACGACTGTATTTATATTCCACAAAAGCAACATTTGCATGTTTTACCATGCGTTTCATGGTGACTCACCGCAGCTACTGTTATTTACCCACACCCTTCGCTGATGGGACAAGAGCTGAATTTTTCAGCATGAATCACCGCCTTTGCCTACTTTGCGATCTCTTCATTTACAATTCTATTGCCTCTCCCCAACCAAAAAAAAAAAAAATCCACTACATTGTCCCCAAACAGTATGTACCGCTGGCCCCCGTGAGACTGGCAGACAAAAGACTGAATCGCAGATTGATGAAAGCAATGCACTCCACACAGCAGAGCCTGAAGCTTTGTTGTCAAGAGTCCGAGGGCTGAGTTGGTTATCTGCTACATATTTTGTCCACGGGAGGGGCTACTATATGATACAAAGTACTACAAAACTTCGTTGTTCTTGTACAAAAACGAACACTTTTGTAGAAATCCCACCTTTTAAACAACGACCGATACAGAGCAAAAACCGTTGACAGTGTTTCAGGGCGGACATGAGTCAGGAGCTTGACAGATTACATTGCTTCTAGAGGCGTCAAAACAGAAACAGGCGTGGTGGGAAGTTCTTCACAATGGCAGAACTTTGGCACATATAGAAGAAAATGACAGTATTTGACAAGATCAGCATAGATGATTCCAAACTAATTATCACTTTTATACAGCAGTTCATAATAACCCGGATGGTGTTGACTACTTTTTAATTTATTTTTTTTTTGGTATGAAATTAGTGTTTGCTTTAAATGATTGAAGAGAAACTCAAGCCACTGAAGGAAGGGGCCACAGACATGGAAGTAAGACGATGGGGGCATTGACGACAACAGAAAAACTACAACCAAATTTATTGTTCGAACCGAGTCCTCCCTTATGCACAGCAGTAAAGAGTGTGAAACGACAGTATGAGTGTCTGTGTGTACATCAGGTGTGTGTTTGTGTTTAAATCCACTTCTGGTGTGTGAACCAGCAAACGTTTTTTTTTTTTTTTTTTTTTTTTCCCAAACCTGCTTGAATCCGCTTTGAGGTCTACGCACGTCACCCGCCCAGCCTGGGAGAGAGTCCGCCGCTTCCAGCTTCCTTCCAAAAAGTAACGGTCACAGTGAGGTGACACTTCTCAGGTATCTGTATTTCCACAGGAAACATCGGTCGACATAAGCATGTTGGTTCAAAAAGGAATCCTGTTGTTACTGCTAACCTCAGCTCCTGGTCTAGTCTGCGTTAATTTGACCCCACCCCCCGCCCGTCTCCCCTCGCTGATTTTAATTGAGGGGAATGTTTCAGGGTGTTGTCAGTTTTCATGCCATGGTTTCCTTCCCTGGGAGTCTTCTGTCGTTGAACGTGTGCATGTTAATGACCTCCTCCGTCTTGACGATGGCGGGCGGCTGAGGCTTTTGTTTGAGACGACGTTGGCACTTCAGAGAAACGCGCAGCTCATCCATCATAGCGCTGCAGAATGATCGCTGCAGAAGAAAACAAGAGGAGAAGGACAAGAAGCAGAGCAGTTATTCTTTATGTTACGCTCACCCGTAAGCGTAAGCTGAGCAAGATCAATATTGAAGTGAGGGGGGGGGGGGGGGGGGGGATTAATGTAGGATCTTATGCTTTTCCATGTTACAAATTTCACAACAGACGCCAACACCAAATACCACAGAGTTGTGAGGTGAAAAGAAAATCACAAAGTTTATATTTGTTTCCCTGCAAAAACAAATTTGACAAACGTCTTCAAATTTGGCTTCGGCTCTTGACTCAGAACTTCACAACCGATCCCGAACAGGAGGTTTATGCAAAACGGTCACCTCATTGATTCTATAAAAGCAATCTTGCTGCTAGCAGAGCTTGTCAATCCAGCTGTAATCACACACTTTTGCTATGGAGATGTCAAAAAGGCAGCAGTCTCTTGCTTGCGGGTGCAAAACGCTGCAGCGTTATGTTGTGGTGTAGTTGCTTCATTCAGATTGCCACCCCATTCTCTTTCTTCTAGCACATTCTGTTCTATGCATCCGCACTCAGTCAGCTGGTTGCCTGTTCAGCATTTCGTCATGTAGTTTTCCTTCTCCATAACAATCAGTTAATAATCTTCCAGACATACTCAAATGTTACAGCCCAAAAACACACAGAAACAAGTGTGCTTTCCTAAAGTGACGGAGACGAGCATTCAGGAAAAGACGTCGGTGTGTTAATGGTCACCACAAAAAAAAAGGGGGCGATAAATTAACCCAGAACATTTAAACTGAGGGCTCATGAGCTCTTTGCTATGTTGCATGCTAATGCTAGTTTTAGCTCAAATAGAAGCAGCAGAAGTGGATTTGGTTTCAGGTGCATTGTTTCTTTTCGCAGTGCTAAAGGTTACCTTTTTTTTTTGTCAGCATCTCAGCTTATGTGAAAAAAAAAAAAAAAAAAAAAAAAATCTCTCTGCTCCTGCTTGTATAAAGTTTTGGTTGGCAGCCCTAAAAATTTATGTGCTTATGAATAGACAATAAAACTGAAGTGGCAGAGACTGAGTTACTCTTTTTTGACAGCTAAGAAAAAAATAAAAAAAGACACTTTCTAAGGCTTCTTCAGTGCTAAAAACGATAATAACCAACTGAGTTTAAAGCTCCAGTTGCAGCTGCTTGAGACAAGGAGCTGACAATAATGATGTAATATTTGTTAAGACATTGATTGCTGCTGCAATATTTGAGAATACTATGGACAATTTAAAGATGGAAAAGGCAACAGTGGAGAAAAAAATGCAGATTTTGCCGGCAAACGCATAAAATAAAAAAAAAAAAAGGCATATTTTGTCTGGGGGAGAAAATCTAAGATCGATTTGAGCAGCAACAGGGAAAGCAGACCCGGATGTATAATTCCCTAAGAATGAATTTGAAGAAGAGATCTACTTACAATTCTGTTAAACATTTTTGCCCATCAGTATCATTGTCATCTGAAGGTCTTATTATTGTCTTACAGCCGTCACCCCCCCCAGACAAGAATCAAATCCAGGAGGAATTATGTATAAAAAAAAATAAAAAAAGAATAATGCCACCTCTAGGTCATAAAACCCACTTAAGAAGATTAAATCCAAAAATATTGGTAAACTGTTATGGCGTTATGTAACTTCTACAATACGAGATTCTGTTGTGCCTAAATTATCTATGTGCTGTAAAATCCTATAAAATGTCAATATGCCTTTGCACCAACTTTGGCAAATCCAATTCTCATGCATTCCTGACCCAATTATGCAGGATGTAATTCAAATTCAAAGGCTGTAGGAGGGGAGAAGATATACAAGAAAAGAGAGAGCATAAAAATATGACATTGTTACTTATTTATTTCTCGGTTTGTTTATGTGTGTGGGCGTTTGAGATGGATATCAATAGAAAGCGCCAGGTATTTTATTTTCCATGTACTCGATATATTTGTCTGGGATAAGAATACAATCTTTTATATATGCTAGGAAATAAATAATTAAAGGAGCAGATTGATTAGGGACGTGGAGAACTGTGTAGGAGAAAATAGAAATAAGTAGTGAAAAGTGAGGTGGGGTAGAAGGAGGTTTGCAGGCGGGGAGAGCAGAGGCTTGTTGTCTGTATGCAAATTACGACAACGAGCACCTTGGAAAGCCTAGAAAATCCTGGCATTTGCAAATCATCTGAATATTGTGACCCAGTCCTGAAGCTCTTGACTAATGATAGCTGAGATATGCTATGAAATATATGCAGTCTGCAAAAAAAAAAAAAAAAAAAAAAAATCTGAAAAAAAAAAAAACTGCTACAAAGTGCAAATTTCCTGCCCTATGTATATTTT